AGTTACTGGCTTCTGCAGTTTGTGAGCTACTCCGGGCTTCTGAGTGTGCAGCTTGCCTCTTCTGCCTATAGGCTTGGCCTAATCTGTTACCGTTGTTCATCAGCTCTTCCACTTCCAACATGTTGTTGACTTTTCCCAACTATTGCTCTCTTTTCTCACCTTTGCCTTTATGATTTACTTTTTAAAAAATTTCTTTATTACCATTGTATTATGTCTTCAGAGGGGTGAAGATAAATAAGGAATTCTGTTGCTGTTCACGTTGACAGATAGCTTCATGCTAACTGAAATGCTAAGTATGTTACCCAGGATTAAAAAACAATTTCATGTCCTGAGAGGGCTCTCAGTCTCATGGGAAGGACAAGGACAGACAGATCGTGTTCATACAAGTGCTGTCAGGGTCACAGAAGAAGTACCTGTACCTAATGGGGGGAAGACAGAGGGAGGCGTTCACTGGGATTGTGGCCAGGAGTAATGGGGAAGGGAAAAGGCTTAGACTCATGACCATTTGGAAGGCAAGATGGAGTTTCAGCTCAAATTATTATTTTTATTGGTTCTCTTCTCCTGAGCACTATTGATTTCTGAATCCAGGACCTGTCCTGTCAAATGAGCTAAACCATCACGAATGATACCTGGGTATCCAAGATGCCCAACAGAGGCCCAACAAGCCCCTGTCCTCCCACCCATTTCATCCTATAAAACAGAAATTAATATGAAGGTTAAGTGTTCCTAAATTGCCCAGTAGAGTCAGCAGCCAATAGGAGTTAGCCCTCCCATCCCCCATTTATTTTAAAGAAGAAAAGAGAAGTAGCATAAATGTCCCATGTATGACATAGGACTCAGAGGTACAGAAATGTGACTTAATTTGCTTTCTGTAACACTGAACTTACTCTTAAGGCACCATTTCCATGAATGGTGAAACAATTTGTTGTTTCATTATAAGATATCTTCTAATTTTAAGCTTAGGTTTTTACAGGCCAAATCAATCTTTTCCTGCCTACCTCTCCAAGAGTGAGTTAAGCATCCTAGTAACTTAGCATCCTGGCTCCAGAAAGAGGCAGCTAGCCCTCACTGCCCTCTAGCTGAGGGGTCTGGCCTCACTCTTAGGCATTAGCCTCCATTCTGTCTGCCTTGACTACTGAAGCCTCTTCAGCTTCTTCTGTCTCAGATGCGATATCCCCACCATCTAGGCCTGTGCCCAGGCTAGACACCTGGTATTGCCAACACGACGGTCCGTGGCTCTAGGCTGCACTTCTCACACCTCCTGCCCCCCCCCCAACAAGTAGCCCTACTGACTGTTAGTGTTCACCCTCTCAAAGAGCCTGTGCCAAGCCCTGCTGAGACTGAAGGAGGAGTGTGTTCCAAAGCCCCTCTGCCTGTGCATGCCATATTGCCATGTTCAGTATTTGCACAAGCAATGTGAGGTGGCCTCCTCCCTGAACTCCAGGGGAATGCAAAACATAAGGCTGTCTGCTATACTGTTTCCACATTTACCTAGGCCTCTTAACTCTGCCCTTCCCAGTCCCAACACAAAGGAGGCTTATCTCTGAAGAGTAGAATAGGATAAGCAGCAGGCCTTAACTAGTGTCCAAACTCTGTCAACATGGGCCTTTTCTCTCAAGATCTTTTCTGCCCTGGTGCCCATTCTTCCCCCTCACCCACCCTCCACCCAGAGAGGTCCTTTCCTTTCCATTTCATACTCTTTTCTTCTTACTACTTTGTAGATTTTAGTAAAACTGTATACTCTGATTCCCTGGGCTCTGGTCCTTGATTTTTTTAAAGATAACTTTTAAAAATTAAATAAATCTTATCTCTCTCAACAAAGCCTGGCTCTTCTAAGTGAAAGCTTTACCCTTCATAAGCATTACCTCTGAAATGAGTTTTAGGAGTCAGTTCTAGAAGTCAGAAGCTGGACATCACCTCCTTGTTCTCAGCTAGGTTCTGCCATCCCCTTGAAGCAATGGACACCTCAACTCCAGGAAGGAGGGCCCCGTTAGTTAGGATTACTAGGGATGGAAAATGCATTGGAAAACTTCCAGCTTCCATGGGGCAAGGCTACACTCTTAGGATCAGCTCTCCAACAAAAACAAGTAGTGGTGGTTAGAATGTTTCCCCAACTTCACTTTCAAAGCTGAAAAACTGAGAGATAAACACTCATAACCAGGAAGGTGATCAGGTTACTGGGGTAGCAGAGTGCTGATGCCCTTTCCAGAACTGTTCACTGGGGGTTAAAATCAGCTGCCATGCAAGTCAGGAGGGACAGAATCCAAAGGCTAGAATTCCCCCAAACTGAGGAGCCTCATAGTTGACTTTCCCCACATTAA